ATCACTCAGGATAGACTCCAGTTAGCAATAGGCCAAGGCTGCCAGCTAACCCGTTCTACCGTCGCGGTGTTATATAACGTACGTTTCTCGAGTGAGCTGCTCCTTCTGGTAGGCGATCGGATGCTGGAGAGCACGCAGGAAGTCCTGCTGGCTGCGCAGTATCGTCGTGATGAGGCGCATCCAGTGCGTCTTCGACGACTCGCTCGACACCTGGCACATGAACTCCTGGTCGCCCTGCGCCGGGTTGCGCGACGTCAGCGAGAACGCGAGCGGCTCGTTCTCGATGTTCGGCTGGAAGGACATTTTGTTCACCTGGAACGAAATGAAAGCGGTTACAACCAACGAGGTACTGGTAAACGTTCAGAGTGGGTGCGTAGTTAGCACCCGTGCATGAATGCATCGATGTAAAGACTGATGTGCGACGATTAGAAATAGCTCGTATTTGGATGTATAATCGAGGAGATATTGAGCGTTATTAATTGTTAGGTTGTGGTATTCACTGCCTTTTGTATCCTGTTGGCCAGTTTGAGCATTCATGTCACATCCAATGATTGTGATGTTATCAAGAGCTAATAATACCTTAGGTATTATTATATAACCTTTAGGTATTATTAGCTCTTGATGTTATGTTTTGAGATTGGGATATTGAGAGAACCGTCAACACCTTTTAGAGATTAGAAGTAATAGAAATTACTAACTTCATTATCAGTTGAACAATTTGTTGGAACGTAGCACGATATCACTGTTGTTAACGAGTTTCCACTAAATGATGCTATTAGTATATTCTGCACGCGTTCGAGCCTTTTTATGCTTTGGGACTTTAGAGCAGCAGTCCTATAGCTCTGATTGTAAAGCTGTTATCAGCTAATATCTCACTATCACTTAAAAACTAGTTGATTTGGTACGTTAACCCAGATAACATAAACCTTACTTCACCTGAGGAAGATGCCTATAAAAAATAGTTTAAAACTGTTCAAAGAATGCGCTTTGATGCAGGAGCCTGAGAGAGAGCTGAATAGTTGATCAAAGGCACGCCCGAACGCGGCGCTGCCGAACAGATGGTATATATCTGAGCCATGTGTGCAGTAACTGTTAGGGCAATACAACGCATCCATGGCATGTCAATATTAATTTTATCATTGTATAGCTTGTATAGCTTTCATTGCTTATCATAGTATAGGTATTATTAGCTCTTGATAGTATGTTTACACTCTTGCTATATAGTGCTGCTGCGCATTGACAATACTGTTATAGCAGTATCATTCTGATACCATTACTACTGATATATATAACAAGTGCCGCATAGCGACAGCGCTCATCTAACGTCTACTGCGGTGACTCTGTGGTGGAGTGGTGGGATTCTAGTAAACCCTGTTAGTCCCAAATGTGTTCACATACACGCCGAAATAGTGCGAATGCAGCAGAAGATGGTATCCAGGAAGCCTTCTCAAAAGAATGTTCGTCGTGGAATGCGGTTATGAACACGTTGCCCACGAGATGGCGTGTACGTTTAAGTGTCTTCAGATTAAAGATGGAAGCCTCCCATCATTCGTAGTACAAACCAACTATTTGCAGAGACAGATTAGGTAAGCGCACTGCATGCCATTTACCTACGCCAACCTACAGGCTGCAAATTGCAAATAGAATGAGTGCCACCTGTATACGCAATCTAATGCAGGCAAATACTGCCCCAACACATGGCACAGCCAGCTGGCAGTGGCATAGCGTGACATGTAACCAACTTGATCAGTACAGAATGACATAGAAAATTATACGATTTAAGGAATATACATTAATTACACCTTCTGTAACCAAATTTAGCTTTGAAATTTGCATCACTGTGACATTGTAGCCCTACAAACATCCAGGCATGTATAGTGATTGCTACTAGCAAACGAACCGGCCAGTCAAATTCTTTCTAACAGACAGTCACAACCAAATCATGGTTAACACCTCCTCTTGAGGTAGGGGGAGGGGAGGGTAGGGGGAGGGGGGCGTGGGGGAAGGGTGTGGGGGCTAGGAGGTGGGGGAGGGGATAGGGGAGGGTGGGGAAGGGGCTCTAAATAGCTAAAAGCAGTCAGCTCCTTGTTAACAGTCAACAAATGCCATGTTTAACTCCTCCTCTTGAGGTCAAAAGGTTTTATCCCGGACAGCTTACTCTTCGATGTCAGCAGAAGGGGACATTATCGATGGTCCTTTCAATAAGCCATAAAAATGCTAGGTCACCGCTTGAAAGAGCAGGTTAGCACAAAAAAGTTTCTTCAAGTGCTCCGTCAGAACCCAGTCCTTCAGAAATATGTCTAAGAATCTGCCCTGTGCCCCAATTTACTTTATTGAATGGTGACGCTTGTTGACCGCTGTGACCTCCAATTCCGGCACAAGTGATTGGCTTTTCGCTACCATGATGCTATACACCCGCTATCACGACCTAGGGTCGAGCGCGTTTAGACCACACGAATTTGTTGCCGGCAGATTGCTGACATTTCCTCGCGCTATACGGGCCCTTAAGGTTAAGAGCGTGAGTGAATGTTTCCCCTTTTTTATACAGCAACCTCTTGAACGCTTGTGAATGTCTGACTTTGAGAAATGAAGGAAAAACAACACGAGAGAATACACACCCAGGAGCCCCAACAGAATAGAGGAAATGGGGCACGTCACCCGGGGGAAAGATACCACTTAACCAGATAGCAGAAAAAAAGGGAAGCAGAGGTGAGCGAACAGCGAGGCAGGGTGGAGCCGCAACGATAGAGGGAGGACCGATGCGAGGAGTACCAATGGAAACGTTGGAACCATAGTCGCGAGTAGTGTGGAGACAGTATGCCCCCGAGAGGGCGCACCGCCCCAGCCTTTTGTCGAACAGCCCAACTCGTTTTGACGATCCCGTCGCCCGACGTCCCCGAATATCGTGACCGGGTACGTCGAGCGGTTTAAGATTTGTGCCCAACTGTTGACGCACGGACGCACGGGACGGTACGGACGATGACGGACGATCAAGCGATTTCTACAAGCTGCATATAGGCATTCTGACTATGTCCAGATGAGCTTAAAAAAACACATAAAAATGATTAGCTATTATAGCTGCAAATAACACTTTGTAGTTTGTATTATATGCGCTAAGGCACCGCATTCTAATGCGCTACGATAAACAACACTCGTACTACATTACAAAGATGTGCATAATCAATTTTCAGCATCATTGCCATATGTGAAATAACTGGACTAGAACTTCACACTCGGACGCACTGGACAATCACAAAGCAATACACGTTGCACCACAACGCGCATACCGCCGTAGCATTGCCGGCCATAATCACCACTACTTAAGACCCACCACAGAATTATTACGAGTTAAGGTCCATGTTGGAGATAACATAACAATTCAAATCTCACGCGGTACCCGAGAGACACGCAAAGAAGAATCCAGCCGTCAGAACTGCGCCTGATCCGCATCTCCTCCACCTCTCCATCGCCTTCGGCTTCACTGCTGCTGGTCTTAAGCATGGTATACAGACCCCTGCATAGTAAAACGTCCCCCCCCACTTCTACAGTGCACTTAAGGTCGTCGTGGCTATGCACCGAGCATCTTTTTAGCAGGGAACACAGGAACTGTTGGCTAAAGACTTTGGCAATCGTCGCCCGCAGTGCACGCGGGTTTTAGTTTTAGTTTGTAGGTACGCCGGTAACTTGGGTGGATGCTTTCTGTGCTAACGCTGCCCGGCCGGCCGTGGTGCTCGTACAATGACCCGCCGGCCGCTCACGCTGGATCGAGTTCTTGCATATGTAACAGTTCGGATTGCTGAATTCCTTCTTAGCGCTCGACGACCTCTGGCGATGATGACGATCTGCTCGAAGAGTGAAGACTCGCCGCTCCTTCAGCTTTCGCCTGCGCGCGCCGTTCGGGTCTCAGAGAGCGAGCAGCGTGTCCTGATGGGCAGCCAGCCTTGGCCCTGCGCGGCTGATCTTACCCTGTGCGTGTGCGAAAAGCACAGTAACATGAGCGAGCGAGAGATGAGAGAGCAGAGAAGCGAGAAGAGAGAGAGAGAGACGAGTAGAAAGAGCAGAGAGAGAGAGGAGATTGATGAGGAGAAAGGAGAGACACAGAGAGCGAGAGAGAGAGAGAGAAGGAGGAGAGGGGGGAGAGGGGGAGAGGGAGAGAGGGAGAGAGAGAGAAAGAAGAGAGAGAGAGAGAGAGAGAGAGAGGAGAGAGAGAGAGAGAGAGAGAGGAGAAAGCAGAGAACAGAGAGCAGAGAGAGAGAGAGGAAGGGGAGAGGGGGAGCAGGGGGAGAAGGGAGGAGGGAGAGAGAGAGAGAGGAGAGAGAGAGAGAGAGGAGAGAGATGAGACGAGAGAGATGAGAGAGCAGCAGAGAAGAGAGAGAGCAGAAGAGAGAGAGAGAGAGAGGAGAGAGAAAGAGCTGAGAGAGGCAGAGATGATGAGAAGAGATCTCACAATGTTTATTGTAGGGCAACATCACGTATCTCAACAATGTTCATGTATGGAACATCATGTATAATCACAATGTTTATATGTAGGGAACGCACGTATCTTACAATGATTTATGTAGGAGAACATCACGCTATACTAACAATGTTTCATGTATGGAACATCACGTATCTCACAATGTTCATGTATGTGAACATCACGTATCTCAAAATGTTTATGTAGGGACATCGCGTATCTCACAATGTTTATGTAGGGAACATACACGTATCTTAAAGTTTTATGTAGGGAACATCACGTATCTCACAATGTTTATGTAGGGAACATCATGTAATCTTACAATGTTTATGTAGGGAAATATTACGTTTACAGTATCGGTGTGATATATAAACGTGACATTTACAGCATGATGGCCGTAAAACAACAGTTAATTATGGATAATTTGATAAGAAACTGAACATCATGGATTCAAAGATACTTAAGATGCTCACATTCCGATGGATACCATGCCTGAATCAAACTCCCTGAAGCCGTCAACATTCATCATGTCATTTGGCAGGCCTTAGGTAACGACACACATCACATCGTATGCCTTTCTCATCATCGTCGTCTCCAGGCCGTGCCTTCTCCGAATACTTGAGGAAATCCTACAGAGGACGATACGCGAGACAAGGAATTCATTTATTCACTTATACACGTTTGCATCAAGAAAAAACTAGAAACGAGCAGTTGTCGCCAACTACATGTATCCCCCGTGATCTAGTATGAATGGAATATCTCTGTAAGGACGTAGAAGGCAGGTTAAAATTAAAATAAGTGACAAAGACAAAGGTTTGTTAGACAACTGGTGTGCCTCAGATGTGCAAGTATATGGAATCTGGTTACGCCTAGGAGGCCGAAGGACGGAAATGTAAGTTGACGGTGAATGTCAAACTAAGGTCAGGGCAGTGGTGGTTTTGGTATGCGACAGACCTTCTCCCCCAAGATGTGTAATGCATACAAGTTTGGTCGCGCTAGGTCAATTAGGGGCTGAGTTAGAGAGCGGAAGGAAAATATGATCAAGGTCAAGCTAAAGGTGAAATAAAGGTCGCAGTGACCTGGTGAGCAGTTTTTACACGATCTCGGATGATCTTCAAATTTGGCGCGTTTCAAAGGTGCGTTATGGTAAAGCAAAGACGCCAATAGTTTTTGGTGTGGGCGGAGTCATCGTTGCCATGGTAACAACAATTTTGTGGAAATATTGTAGAACCTGTAACTTGTGCTGTTTTTACCCGATTGTCATGGAATTTGGCACACAGGGCCGATATAACATGTCCTATATGACAATCATAAATTTAAATATAAATTTAAATGAAAAATCTTTTAATACAAATATTAAATTTTTATTTTTATTTTTAAATTTAAATTTTATTTTTAAATTTTAATTTTAATACAAATATATATTTCATGACAATCGAGTAAAAAGTGCGAAAGTTACAGGTTCTAAAATATTTCGACAAAAAATGTTGTTACCATGGCAACGATGACTCCGCCACACCAAAAACGATTCAGGGAATACAATTACGTTCAAAGTGTTGATGTTGAAATAAATTTGATCAGTAACTGGTGCTCGCCTTTTGGCACCAGACTGAGGTGGGTAGTGGTAATAGTGGGCAGTGGTGGGTGGAACCTAGAACCTTACTCACCACCGCAACCATCACTACGATACCCACTGTAGGATGCTGCAAGCTCCCAAATGGCAGTTTCAGTGATGCGCCGAAGCAATCCTTACAACACTCATGAGGTTTATATGGCGCAATAGAGTTTCCTGTAAATTTTCCGCCTCTTCCGAACGTTCGCGTGGGCAATTACGAAAATCGCAGACAAGAGTATCACGAGTTGGCTGCAGACCCTATGGGGTAGCCGGCATTTTTTGCTGGCAGTTGGAACTAATTTCTAGAGTAAATACGTGCCGAGTTCGCGGAGATTTACAGCCGCGCAATCTACGTAACCGACCGGTGTCATTTGAAGTGCGAGAGAGATTACTGTGACTGCTCGTTAAATCATCACGAAATCCTCACAAACATTTAGTGATTTGCCGGACGCACGCTATCTCGCGAAAACTTCGCTGTTTTGAACGCCTTTCCTAGGTATACGTGGAGGAGGTTGTAAAGAGGAGGGGTAGTGCATACAAACAGAAGTGCATACGAGTGGCACGATTCAATACATACCTTTAGTAAGAGCTGATACTTCATAATTCGCTGTACAGGTTTAATGAGAAGATCAGACATTGACAGCTTGTGGCCCAGTTTCACACGGAGCTCCTAAAATATGAAAAGCAGTAATGTTAACGCGACCAGTTAGGTACATGTGAACACTAGATTAACATGTATGTAATCTAAAAATTAAATACTTCAGCATCTAGGCTACTCTGCTCTCATCACTCCCCTAATGATAAGCTATAGCAACTTGATAGAAACAAATTTAGATTTGTGCTTCATTGCACTGGAATTTAAGGAGGAACTTCCCACAGTCTGCCAGCCGGGCATTACAGGCGATTACTGCACACAAGTCCTTAAGCCTGCTACTGTATATGACATGACTGCTTATGTATCAAATGTCAACTCATCCTTACAATGAAATTAAATGCAAACCATTTCTGATTATGTTTTAATGCAGCAGTAACGCTTCCCACTCATCCCCTTCTAAGAATGCAGAAAGACTTAGTCCTGACATGTCCAGTATTAACGATCACACGTCTACCACTGTGCCTGCCACCAACTCTCCTCTCAACCCTACTTGCAGGTTTAGGTGTTACCAGCGTCAACGATGTTTTACTAAACACATGTGTGTGTACCTCTATGACAGCACATGACGTCATTCGTCTGCATGTTTAATAACCCCTCCCCTTTCTTCTGCCTGCTCAGAGACAATTCTAAAGTAATCAGCATCGTTGGAGCCAGGAAAAAGATTTTCACTGAAGTACGACCATAAACCTAGTCGATTATTTCGCACAAGAGTAAACATGACGTGCTGCTGTATGTACTGAGAGCTGGCTTAAGGATTTGTGTAGGCGCAAGGAGCACATGATAAGAAAACTACAATACTAACAGGTGAGTAAATTTGCCAACAATGTTCAGACCTGCAACGTACCTCGAAGTAATTGACATAGTCCTGTACAATGTATTCACTCTTTGGTTTGTTCTGACAGTAGACCACGTACATGTGTAACCTTCTCTCCTATAATAGAGGCAAAGAACACATTCACGAAGCACATTAAACAAAGCAATTTATATTATTAACTACAATATGTAGTTAAATATCAGACTCAGATAGTCTGGATCATCTAACATGTCAATTGTGATAGCTTTTTGTTTCAATTTGCCTTATAAATAAAATCCTGGAGAATGAGATATTCCCATGAATGGTGAAAATTTGGCAACTCAATAAATATATCTTGTTATTGGCCCATTTCTGCACATACAGAAAGAATATATGGTTTTAAAATCTGGCGACCATACAAACTCTGCTAAACACTACTGCCCTGCCACATTGTTCCGCTTTTTACCAAGAACTGCAAGCATCCTGAAACCCGTAACCCAGCACAATTGCTTCTTAAAATAACGCACCTACTCTCTCGTTTCCCAAGCTTCCCCTGTCACCTGTGACACTGTCCCGTTTTTACCAGCAGCCACATTATCCATCTATGATGGACTCCAGGCAATTACTTTACGAAAGCCACCGGAGGCTATATTCATTTACAATTTGGCGGAGTTCGTAGGGAGACAATTCTGGGCCACACTAGAAACACTCGACGATGAAAACACGCCGTAATGGAGCCTCCTCCTCCTCGCGTAATTCCTCCGCCTGGCAGCAAGTAACGACCAAAATTGCTGCCAATTTCCAGGATGCGGTTATTAGGCACCCTCTTCCATTTGTGGAGCCTCACTCCAATGATAGAATTCTGCCTCCGCACACTCAGAAACAATGCTAGGAGACGGCAGTAAACAGCTGCTCTAAACATCAAATCACGGTCAAAGACCAGCCTATTTGGGCTTCGTCTGCAAGCTTGATTATTCACAGGACTTTCAAGAAATGGTTTTTGTTAACATTTATTAGTCGTTCAAAGCAAGGGCACTCGTGCACAGAACACGCTAACACTAGGCCAAATCCGTCCAAACGGCCAGTGCTTAAAATCAGGCGGGTAACACCAATGTATTCAACATACAAGTTTAAAAGAGACGTATTTTATTATCTTTTAGGGCCTGGCATAAAACAAACATGGCGCTAGCAATGTTAAATGCAATCATAGGTAGGGCACTTAGTCATCATGGCTACAGCAGTGCTTACGTGAATGTACTACAAAGCACTGCAATGACACTGACGCAGGAGCGGTCTGCGCGCACATGGCAAGTAACTATGACAACGCTGAGCAAGATAATTGCCTGCAAGACGTTCGGGGAGAAAGAAGCACTTGGCGAGTCAAGCATCAAGAAGTCATGACCCGGTGTTTATACAACGTGAACAGAAGCACACACTCACATATCTGAGGAATGTTGGTCCTAGCCTATCTGGGTCATCAACACACTTCTCCAACTCTTTGAGAAAGGTCCTGAAAGAATTGTAAAGAAGTCAGCACTTTGCGTGAGCTTCTCTGAATTATTTAATTAAATTTACTTCAATATATATTCAATTATTTGTGCTTTAAATTTCAATTGGCAAAAGTGTAAGGCAGCACTTAGCACTGTACAACAAAGCACATCGTTTATATTATTTTGATTAAATGCATAATAAAATATAAAGTGATGCTAAGATTTCCCTTACTCTCTATGCCAGTCATATATCTGGTGTATGTTCCCGAACACAATCTTGTCTTTCCCATCATCTAGTCCTTCGGGCAACTCTGTGCTTTCTCGCATGACGGCCATGAATCCCTAAAGGCATAAGTCAAACATTTTAAAGAAATCCTAAATGCAACTCTAGTGTATGCTAATTCTATTGGTAGAACACTGCAATTTTAATAAACAATACCATACACTAGAATTCTAATACAATATTAATGATCTATGGAACGTCATCTAAACATTGGTGCACACCATCCATGTATGCATCACCCTCACAGTGTTTTTGTAGTGATGGTGGTGGTGATGCTACTGCTGCTGCTGATGGTAGTGGTGGCAGTGGTGGGGGTAGGGGTTGGCGGCTGTGTTGGCGGTGGTGTTGGCGGTGGTGGTGGCGGCCGCGACGGCGGTGTTGGCAGTGGTATTGGTTGGCAGTGGCAGCGGCAGGTGGTGGGTATTGGCTGTTGGTGTTGCTGGTGTTAGCGGTGGTGGTGGCGGTGGCGGCAGCGGCAGGTGGTGGGTATTGGCTGTTGGTGTTGCTGGTGTTAGCGGTGGTGGTGGCGGTGGCGGCAGCGGTGGCGGTGGCGGTGGCGGCAGCGGTGGTGGTGGTCGTGGCGGTGGTAGTGGTCATGGCGGTGGAGATGGTGGCGGTGGCAGTGGAGGATGGTGTTGGTGGTGGCAGTGGAGGATGGTGTTGGCAGTGGCGGCGGCGGCGGCGGCAGCAGTGGTAGTGGCGATACTCAGTGGTAATGGTCGCAGAGGAGTTGCTATCACCTTACCTCTACAATGGACTGCAGATCCTTGACATAATCCCGCTCGGTCTCGATGAGCTCTCGCAGCACATAGGATCGCTTCATGAGCGCCAGGTCTCGCTGCTTCTGCACGTCGTCTTCCTCGATCGTCACGTCCGATGTGCTCTGCTGGTCCTCCGATTCCAGCTGCTGCTCCTCTGACTCCTGCTCCTGCAAAGTCAGACAGAGACAACATTTTTATAGGGCAAGTATTGCCTTCAGGTTAAGCCGGGGGTGGGCGTTGTCAGAAACATCACAAATAGTTGTGACTGCCATTAATGTCCCCTATCCGTTTTCTAAACCTTGTGAGTCGTATGGCTGGCTTCCCCACCAAACCTAATAGTGGGCTATAAGATGTTCGCAAAGTACTGTTGGTATCAGTTTGCAACAAAAACAGTTAAAAGGTAAAAGTAAATTATCATGATTATACAGGGGCGTAGCCAGCCTTTCCAAGAGGGGAGATTCCTTCCAAGAGGGGGGATTCCAAAGCTACTATATACTAATAAAACTTCGTTAAAATTTTCGTTTCATTCTTTTATATACATACTGTATCAGATATGTGCTATTTTGATACAAACCAGGGGGGGATTCCGGAATGCCTGGAATCACCCCTGGCTACGCCCCTGCAGATAGCTCGCTGTTACCGCCACCTACACATGTATAACTGAAATACAAAAACATGCTGTCCATGGAGCTAGGAGCATATACGCTGACCTACCACACACCATCTTAGCATTGCATGACTTCAAGCTCCGAAGACGCACACCGAGAAAGCAATGTTGCAAGTAAGTAACTTGTGCAACCCAACACTCACTCACTCACTCACTCACCACTCACCTGCTCACTCTACGGACGGACGATCAAGCGATTCTACAAGCTGCATCTGACTATGTCAGATGAGCTAAAAACACATAAAAATGATTACTATACTGCAATAACATTGTGTAGTTTTATTATAGCGCTAAGGCACCGCATTCTATGGCTACGATACATCAACACTCGTACTACAACAAGATGTCATATCAGCATCATTGCCATAGTGAAATAACTGCTAGAAACTCAGTCGGCTTGGAAATCAAGCAAACGTTGCACGGGATACCCGTGCATTGCCGGCACAATCACACTTTAAGACCACAGATTTTAACGAGTTAGGGTCCATGTTGGAGATAACATAACAATTCATCCACCGAGGACGCAAAGAAGAATCCAGCCTCAGAACTGCGCCTGCCCATCCTCACCCTCATCGCCGCTGCTGCCGGTCTAGCATGGTATACAGACCCCTCATAGTAAACGTCCCCCCCCCTTCTACAGTGCACTTAGGCACGAGCATTTTTAGCAGGGAACATCAGAACTGTGGCTAAAGATTTGGCAATCGTCGCCCGCGTGCACCGGGTTTAGTTTTAGTTTGTAGTACGCCGTAACTTGGGGGATGCTTTCTGTGCTACGCTGCCGCCGCCCCGCTCACCTGGATCGAGTTCTTGAATATGTACATCGGATTGCTGAATTCCTTCTTGCGCTCGACGACCTCGGCGATGATGACGATCTGCTCGAAGAGGAAGACTCGCCGCTCCTTCAGCTTTCCCTGCGGCGCGTTCGGCTCAGAGACGAGCAGCGTGTCCTGATGCAGCAGCTTGCCCTGCGCGGTGATCTTACCCTGCGTGTGCGAAACACATAACATGAGCGAGCGAGAGAGAGAGAGAGAGAGCGAGAGAGAGAGAGAGAGAGAGAGAAAGAGCAGAGAGAGAGAGAGATTGAGAGGAGAAAGAGAGAACAGAGAGCAGAGAGAGAGAGAGAAGGGGAGAGGGGGAGAGGGGGAGAGGGAGAGAGGGAGAGAGAGAAAGGGAGAGAGAGAGAGAATAAAATAAACGCACCTACACCATCGTTTCCCAAGCTCCCTGTCACCTGTGACACTGTCTCCGTTTACTCAAAGCAGCACATTATCCAATCTATGAATGGACTCCAGGCAAAACTTTCGAAAGCCATGGGAGGCTATATTCATTTACAATTTGGCGGAGTTCGTAGTGGAGACCAATTCTGGGCCCACACTAGAAAGCACTCCACGATGATAACACGGCATCGCCGTCATGGAGCTCCTCCCTCCTCGCGTAAATTCCTCCGCCTGCAGCAAGTAACTGACGCAAAAATTGCGTGCCAATTTCAGATGCGGTTATTAGGCACCCTCTCCAATTTGTGGAGCCTCACTCAATGTATAGAATTCTGCCTCCGCACACTTCAAGAAACAATGCCTAGGAGACGGGCAGTAGAACAGCTGCTCTAAACATCAAATCACTGGTCAAAGACCAGCCTATTTGGTGCTTCGTACTGCAAGCTTGATTATTCACGAGGAACTTTCAAGAAATGGTTTTTGTTAACAATTATTAGTCGTTCAAGAGCAAGTGGGGCACTCGTGCAACAGAACACGCCTACTACACTAGGCCAAATTCCGTCCAAACGGGCCAGTGCTTAAAATCAGGCGTAACAACCAATGATCAACATACAAGTTGTAAAAGAGACGTATTTTATTATCTTTTAGGGCCTGGCATAAAACAAACATGGCGCTAGCAATGTTAAATGCAATCATAGGTAGGGCAGCTTAGTACATTCATGGCTACAGCAGTGCTTTCGTGAATGTACTGACAAAGGCACTGCAATGACACTGACGCAGGAGCGGTGCCGCGCGCACAATGGCTAAGTAACTATGACAACGCTGAGCAAAGATAAGTGTGGCCTGGCAAGGACCGTGATTCGGGAGAAAGAAGCACTTTGGCGAGTCAAAGCATCAGAAGTCATGACCGGTGTTTGATACAAACGTGAACAGAAGCACACACTCCACATATCTGAGGAATGTTGGTTCGCTATGCCTATCTGGGTCATCAACAAGAGCACTTACTCCAATCTCTTTGAGAAAAGGTCCTGAAAGAAATTGTAAAGAAGTCCCAGCACTTTGCGTGAGCTTCTCTCTCTGAATTTTTAAATTAAATTTAACTTCAAAAAAATAATATTCAATTATTTGTGCTTTAAATTTCAATTGGCAAAAGTGTAAGCAGTGCACTTAGCACTGTACAACTAGCACATCGTTTATATTATTTTGAATTAAATGCATAATAAATATATAATAGTGGATGCTAAGATTTCGCTTATCTCTCTATGCCAGTCATAAATATCTGGTGTATGTTGTCCCGGAACACAATCTTGTCTCTTCCATCATCTTAGTCCTTCGGGCAACTCTGTGCTGTTCCGGCATGACGGCCATTGATCCGCTAAAGGCCATAAGTCAAACATTTTAAAAGAAATCCTAAAGGTGCAACTCTTAGGTGTATGCTAATTCTATTGGTAGAACACTCAATTTTAATAAACAGATACCATACACTAGAATTCTAATACAAATATTAATGAAGCTATGGAAACGTCATCTAAACATTGGTGCACACGAGCATCCCATGTATGCATCCACCCTCACAGTGGTTTGGAGGCTGTGTGTTGGGCGGTGGTGGTGGCAGACGCGAGCGGCGTGTGCAGTGGTATTGGTTGGCAGTGGCAGCGGCGGTGTTGGGTATTGGCGTTGTGTTTGGCTGGTGTTAGCGGTGGTGGTGGCGGTGGGCGCAGCGGCACGGTGTGTGGGTATTGGCTGTTTGGTGTTGCTGGGTGTCAGCGATGTGGTGGGGCGGTGGCGCGGGCAAGGTGGTGGGTAATGGCTGTTGGTTTTGCTGTTGTTAGGCGTGTGTCGTGCGTGCGCGTGGGGCTGCGGTGCGTGGTCGGCGGTGGCAGGTGGGCGTGGTCGTGGCGGTGCGCAGTGACGGCAGCGGTTGGTGAAGTGGTTATGGCGGTGGAGATGTGTGCGTGGCAGTAGGCGGATGGTGGTTGCGCGGTGGCAGTGGAGGATGGTGTTGGCGGTGGCAGTGAGGATGAGTGTTGGTGATGGCAGTGGCAGATGGTGTTGGTGGTGGCAGTGGAGGATAGTGTGCAGGTGGCGGCGGCGGGCGGCGGCAGCAGGCGTCAGCGGCGAATACTCAGTTGGTAATGCGTCGCAGAAGGAGTTGCTCACCTTACTCTACAATGGACTGCAGATCTTGGACATAATCCGTCGGTCTCGATGAGCTCTCGCAGCACATAGGATCGCTTCATGAGGTCCCAGCCGTGCTCCGCTGCTTCTGCACGTCGTCTTCCTCGATCGTCACGTCATGTGCTGGCTGGTCTCGCCATTCCAGCTGCTGCTCCTTCTGACTCCTGTCCTGCAAAATGTCAGAAGAGGACAACATTTTTAAGGGCAAGTATTGCCTTCAGTGTTACACCGGGGTGGGGCGTTGTCAGAAACATCACAAATAGTTGTAGCTGCCACTTAAATGTCCCTATCAGTTTCTAAACCTTGTGATCGTAAGGCTAGCTTCCCCACCAAACCGCTAGATAGTGGGGCTATAAGATTGTTCGCAAAAGTAGCTGTTGGGTATCAGTTTGCAAACAAAAAACAGTTAAAAGGTAAAAGTAAATTATCAGATGATTATACAGAGGGCGTAGCCTAGGGCTTTCATAACGGGCAAAGGGGGGGATTCCTTCACCAGAGGGCGGGATTCCAACCTACTAATAGTACTAATAAAACTTCGTTAAAGATTTCGTTTTATTCTTTTATATACATACTCGTATCAGATATGTGCTATTTGATACAAACCAGGGCGGGATTCCGGAATGCCTGGAATCACGCCCTGCTACGCCCCTGCAGATAGTCGCTATTCCGCCCCACCTTACACATGTGTGAACTGAAATACAAAAACATGCTGTCCATGGAGCTTAGGAGCATATTACGCTGACGCTAACCACACAACCATTCTTGACATGCCATGACTCAAGGCTCCGAAGACCCACACGGAGAAAGCAATGGTTGAAGTAAGTAACTTGTGCAACCCAACACTGTACGCACTCACTCACGTCTCACCACACACACTGCTCAACTCACTCACTCGTCACTCTCCTCTACTCTCACTCTCCACTCTCACTCTCGACTCCTCACTCTCACTCTCACTCCTCACACCCTCTCTCCTCTCATCTTCTCGTCCTCCTCTCTCTCTCTCTCTCTCTCTCTCGAATCTCATCTCTCATCTCTTCACTTCACTCTCACTCTCAGCTCTCACTCCTCACTCTCACTCACGCACTCACCACTCACGCCACTGCACTCACTCACTCACTCACTCACTCACTCACTCACTCACTCACCATCTGCTGCTTGACGATCTGTTCGATTTCCGTAGCAAGATCTGAAGGTGTGATTCTTATAGTGACCTCGGGATTGCTTCTCACCGACACACTGGACTGGTTCGAAGGCTGCAAGAAGACAC